CTGGGAAGATGTATACAGAAGTTTGCTCAATTTGCCCAAAAAGGTCAGTCGTAAACTAGCAAAATCGAAAACTTCAGGAAGCATACGATCCACCGGTGGGCCATGCTGTCCGAAATGGTAGGACCATGCGACCCATCGGTGGGCCATAACGACGCGAATATGTTAAAAAGAGATTTTAGCCTGAAGAAGATTAGCTGTTAAAACATGTTCCTGTGCTTGTGTAAGTTGTTTGCGTCAAATTTGAAAATTCTCTTTGTGGAAAGCGGCCCGATCTTCACAACACATGAAAAAAATCATAAAATCAGGAACGACTTCCTAATCCCTTTTTTCCAAGTGTAAGTAGCATCAACTTAGGCTTCAATAAAGTGAATTAGTAATCCTGTGGATTACCTAATCTTCGGCCTTTGTGTTCGTTTCCTTTGAGATTCACGCTGAAATTGCTTCCTTTTTGTCAAACGTGAGTTGTTTTGGCTACATATGTTTTTGTATAATCTGCAAACTTGCCTCAATTCCTATTTACAGTGTTTTCTTACTGAGGCTATAATTTACTTGAATTGTTTTGAAAAACATTGCTTGCAACTAATGGCAAACAAAATCTGCACAAACAAGATACTGTCGACTTTTATTAGGTTGGTCCAAAAGTTCGGACCTATCATTAATCATTCAGAATAATGATAGACTGACATGTTGTGAGTAGGTTAGTAAGCCAATCGAGGTTAGTAGATTTATTAGTAAGTGGCGGCCTAACGTTTCGAACTATTCTTTTTCTTCAGAGGCTTAAAGTGGTAGGAGATTTATGATTTAATGTCTATCCCACCAAAAACCTCCTCCATCCCCGGCTAGCCTCGATTTGCCCCAGAATGCTACAAACCAAAATCTTACAACGTGAAAGAAGAACTAACTTCCTCCACCACCGGCGCGCAGATGTTGAAAGCGGCCGTGCTTCAGTGCCACTGATACCAATGAAAAATACACTGTAAACCATATTCAAACTAATCAGTGACCTTCTTTAACTCACGTAACGTCACGAATAGCATAAAGTCATTTGTGATTGACATACACTCATTTCGGCTGTTCATGCTAGGATTTCTAGCGAAAATCCAGAAAGCCTCGAGAGCCTTTCTAACGGCAGTATCGTATTCGTATGCGAGTACTACACATCTGATCTGTAAGTCCTTACCACCGTGAACTTTATCTTTATATTTACCAAGAGGAGTGGTAAGGCTTTCCTACCTGAAGTGTTCTAAAGTGTTCGTCGCAGAATTTTTTCTTACTTTGGTAAAGACGTATTTTAGTATATATTCTCAATAGTAAAGCTGTTTAGGAATTGCTTCGCAGGGCAAGAAAGAAAGTGCATTTAAGGCCCGTATGCACGTACATCCCCGCGGGGAGGGGAGGGGATCTGAGAGGGGAAGCGTCATATCTCGCTAGTCTACATATCTTTCTCCTTCTTTCTCTATCTTGCTTATGGTTTCTCATACACTAATACCTGCGCCTAACGGATGCCAGGTTACTGCCATACAAGATTAGATATTCACTATTTCGTCTGATCCCCTGGAGATCCCCAGGGGATTACCCCACATTTTCAAAGTCATTTACCTTCCTGAAAAAACAATGAAAACGCTGCAGAATTGTACTGAAGAAATATTACGATACTGCTGAGCATGTTTTCGAAAGAAGAAATGGAATGAAAATTTTGATTTTTTTCGGTAATCCCTGGCTCGCGAGCAGCGGTTCATTGAAAATTTTCATATCTTGAGATTTCACTCATTTCTACTATAAATATGTTTAGCAGTGCTGTATTATATCCTCAGTACAATTTTTGAGCACTTTCATTAGGTTTTCAGGAAGATAAATGTCTTTGAAAATGTGATGTGATCCCCTGGGGATCCCCAGGGGATCACAGGTAATAGTGAATATCTAATCTTGTATGGCAGTAACCTGGCATCCGTTATGCGCAAGTATCAGTGTATGAGAACCTTTAAAAGCAAGACAGAGAAAGAAGAAGAAAGATACATAGACTAGCGAGATATGACGTTTCCCCTCTCAGATCCCCTCCCTTCCCCGCAGGGATGTACGTGCATACGGGCCTAAGAATCTCCATTTGATGTTGATGGTAACAATTACCTATTACCTATTTATGCTCTTTAGCACAACAAGTTATACACTCGCGTCTTCTCGCACGAGTAGCCGTTTGAGGATTTAGAAAGTTGGCGAGTCTAGGCCTTGGCCTTGAGGTCCCCCCTTCCTTCACGCCCAGGGTCCCTGGAGGATTTATCCGCCTGGGTAAAGTTGACATCGCCCTGGTGTAAATATTAGCCTTATTCGCGTCTAGGTTTGGGCGTAGGATCTTGACAAAGAACCCTCGCCTTCCTAAGAAGGAGAACGACGCAAGAGCAAACGTTACATCTCGTGTTGGTGTTTTGGTTTTCAAGAACTTGGTTTCGAGAATTTTTTGTGCAGGTTTTTTGGCACACTTTTCGTGTAGACAATAAAATAAATAAATAAATAAATACATGCTCTTCTTGAACACGTTTGGAATAGCGCTTCTACTCAACCCCTTGAAAGCAAATCCGTAATAGATTGTTGCCAAAATGCTAGACATAAAGGACATCGGCGGGTGCACTCATCTGCTACGAATTACCCAATTTCCGTTGCTCATGGTTGCATTGCAGCTTAATTAATGGAAAGTAGCTAAGATGAGCAAAAAAGCAAAGCAGTTGTCTGCATCGATGCTGCAGTTAGCTATTCGTGGCCAGCTGAGCTTGAAAATTTGATGCAAATCATTGCAGTAAAGGGTTTTTACAATGACGATTTGGGGTACATAGTGAGCAGATTTCCAAGTAAAAGAGGTCTATAAAATGTGAGAGTATGCAAACCGTTTCTTCAAAATTCTTGACAATAATTGTGGTGGATCGGGATAATAAAAGTCTTTCGCATGTGATTTTTTTTCTAAAACTTCCGAAAGCGTAGCTGCTACGGAAAACACGTGGTTGACACTGGCTGTATACGGAGTTTGCCACATTTCAAGTTGAACTAGATATCGTGATCTTATATATAAAGGTGACCGTCTGTTTGTCTGTATGTACACATACACTTCGGAGTGGGGGCGGTTGCCATAGGCTACTTTTCGTCATCGATCGATATCGATTTTTCCGATTTTATTGATTTTTTGCAAAGTTTGAGCTACAGGGCTGGAAGTTGGCACAGGGGAATAAGTGAGCACGGCGATTCCGAATACAATATTAGTTTTTAAAATTATCGATTATTTTTATCGATTTTATCGATTTTTCAGAATTTGAGCTGAAGGGCTGGGAGTTGGCACAGGGGGGAGGAGTAAATGGGCATGCTGATTTCGATAACGACACAGTTAACGGAAAATGAAGCATAGAAGTGGGCACAGGGAAAGGCTGTATAGGGATAGGGATGGGACCTTTATTACAGTGTTTTGACAGGGCCGGGTGGAGCCGGGTAAGCCAGCTAGTAAAGTCTATATTTTACGCTTCTTGAGGCTTTTGGTAGGGATATAGTACATGCCTACAACTATGACATCTTGCTTTCTTGAACAATAAATATTTGGGGCACACTTGGGAAATACCTACTTGTACAAGTTGTCACGTAACTTACATGGGCTTCTTTCAACATTATCATTCGCTTTTTCATCGTTTTTTTTTTGTTGAAAATCGAGGGCTGACTAGGTTCTGAATTGCGATTTTGCCGGAAAGTTGGTTGTAAGCTGTAAAGTTCGCGCTCAATCATTGCGCAGTAGCATGAACCCGTTTCTTTTCACTGCAAGTAGCAGTTTTATAATTCAGAAGAAGATTTTCCGTTTTTCCGAGAAAGCTTGGCCAGTGTACGTGTAGGAAGCAGAAAGTTCTTTCGCAGGACCTTACAATCCTCAAAATTTTGGCTAAAAAGACCATCCAAGAAATTCTGATCAGCGCAAGTCCAAGAGATTTTGGAGATTTTGAAGCAACTTTCAACTTCTTATCATAATTGCTTCGTTCCTAAGTTCTGTCAACCGCTTTGTGGAATTATTTCGACAAGGCTTCATATAATCAAAGTTTTTATCTGCCATTCTATCAAAGTAAAGCCAAAGGTAGTGTTCATCCATCAGTCTCTCAGCATCGGTCTTTTTTAGCATTGGGGGGAATGTTCGAAAAGTGCCAGACGTATGGTTTCGCTTTACGATTGAGCATACTCATTTTCCGAGTTCTCAAATTTACAACCTGTGGGTAGGAGCTAGCCATAAGCCACCAGTTTCTAAGATATCCGCAGGTTTGTCAAGAAAGCGGAGAAATCAAACTTCATGATTACAGCTGAATGAATTCATCAGAATAAGCGATAGAGTTCAGTAAATTGTATTTCTGTGATACGAATACACCGTGGAATAAAGAATGTCGCCTTTTCAGGTTTTCGCGCTAAAATTAATATTTCTCAGGAAAAAGGGCATAATAAAGGCCAATTTTATGTTTGAAGCTTCAAAGGTTTGTGACAAACAACTGCATATATGGGAGGAGTCGACTACGGGGCGGAGTTTCCCATTTATCATTTTTAAATTTTTCTTGATTTCTAACCACGAGAAAGTGTGTCAAGAGTACAAATAAATAACCGCACGCGTCTGTTACATGCATAAGCAAATGAAGTTCGTAGGAATTTTTTTTTTAGGGCGAAAATTAATTTTTAACATTAAGAGTTGCCCTTATGTTTGGGCTTCTACAAATTGGCACCCCTCACATATTTTCTGAATTTTTGTTCTACTTTGCCATATAAAAACTACATTCTTTTCTTTATTCTATCCCCGCCAATCGTTCAACTTCGCTCTTTTCAAAACATCGCGATAAGATTACCTTTCCTATTACTCACTTTGTAGTTGTTCTGGGTACTATCCCATTTGCAAGAGTAGAATTTTGCCTTTTATGCACATAAGCAATGTAAAAGAAAGAAAATAAACTTTATTTTAGCTAAGTAGATTTTCTAACGAATTGAAACGATTTGAGATCGAAAAAAACCAGATCATCAGCGGTTTTGAACCAGTATGGGGTAAGATATGACTAGAGTTTTAAGGTGGAGGGGGGGGGAAGTTTGGCCGAAAACAAAAGAGAAGAGGGGGCGGGGGTGAGAAGGAAATTTCAAAGTAATAGGGTGATGGTGTAGAGTCTAGATGAACTATAACAGTCGGATTTGGTGATGGAATTCCTCTACTCCGACAAAGAAGCCCACATAAAATATGGGCAAGAGTGTCGCTGCTGCTGTCATACTGTAGCCGCACATACTATCATACTGTAGCGACTAGCAAAATAACCGTAGGAAGAGCTTTGAACACAAATTACAAAGCAACAAAGTGGTGCTAGAACGTGTGATTAGCTTGCAGATCTTACTGTAATCTTAATGTAGTGATGGGATGTGGTGAAATTGAAGCAAACATTGGGATGAATTGGAGTAACTCGTCCACAGCTCAGTAAAGTCGACGACGTGTAGCGCGTTCGTTGAGAATATGTGCGATTTCGGCGATTCGTTCACGCAGTTCTTGCTCGTCTTGTTCTTCTTGCAACGCTTCCAATACTGCTTCTTCGGGTACGATGATGTACTGTAATTTGAAAATCATCATACGATCATAGCTGGAAAAAATGGAAGACCCTTCTAAGGGGCGTGGCTCGCGCCAGAGTTTTTTTTCTAATTTATCTATAAATCAAACGTAATGTCCTATTTTTTGTGAATACTGTTTGGGAGGCTACTAAGCCATTGTGCAATTGGCGTCTCATATGATTCATTCATGGTCGAGAAATTCACCTTCGATATCCTGCCCAGACCGTACTTCCTGCCATACTAAGGAAGATGGACGATTACGGTTTGGGCAGTGTGGAGTCGAACGACTACGGTCAGGGTAAGTTTGGAGCCGAATTTCTCAGTTGTGATTGGATCCCATGAATTGTCGCTTGATCAATGTTTTAACTACGGCTTTTCAAGCGTATCTGCTCTACCTGGATTTGCCGTTGAGTCGCGATGAAGTGCAAGAAAAAAAGGCGTGCCATGACTCAAGCGCAAATTTTCCAGCACTAGTGCAATCTCTCCGAATCAGTAAAAAATCATTTCTACATACAAATATGTAAATAGAAGGTAATTGCATAATGTGCAACCAGCAGGTCCTTGGTAAAGTAGGGATTACGGTTTGGAGTAGAGTTTAGACTCAAGTTTCTTGTCTTGAATATATATTATGAGATGCCACTTGGGCTGTGGTTTAGTTAAGCTCCTCATCAATTTCCACATAAGAAATCCATATATTAAGCTTGCGAAAAATTTTTGAGAGGAGTAGGGTGGAGGGTTCGCTACTGCTATACAACTAGGCCAAATTCCTTACCTCCGGCTCATTATCCCGCTCGCGTCCATTTGCGGCTGATGCCCAATCCGCGGCCGATAATGACCTCCGATCCCTTGGATATGGCTCGAGTGCGGCGGCGGACGAGTCACGCAGATACTCGTCCGGAATTTCAATCACTTCGTACTGAGGCACAGACACGTATTCCGGTTCCACATATCGGCCAACCTCGTCCCTGACCATGTCCGCAAGTGCGGCCAACTCGCTGTCCGACAGCTCTGCAAATGAAACAAATCGAATTTCGCTCGTTTAGATTTCATTTAGGCGCGCTGGAGCAGAGCGCTGATAGTTTTTTGCCCAATTTGATTAACGTCCATTTGATATGCCAAAGGAAGAGTAATGAGATTACAGAGGACATTTAAAGCGAAAATAAATCAGCGCGATACGTCTATCATAGTGAAGAATTCGAGAATTTTCTCAGAAACAGTAGATTCGAAAAAAAAACAAAAACTACTTTTGTAGAGGAAAAGAGGATTTTCTAAATTTTGGATGGCCCAGCAGAAAAAAGTCTTTAATGAATTATGATCTTTTTCTAATAGATTTGTTTGGTGCTGACAAATAGTAAATGCAGCACTTTCGCTGCTATAATCAGCACTTGCGTCTACAAAACTGATACAGTAATCTTACAGTAGCACAAAAGAAAAACTATTGTATGCTTTTGCGCAGACGTGATTCTGTTACTTACAAGGAGAGGATACTTAGTCGAAAGCACCAATCCAGATGAGACACATATTATCTTAAAGCTCCTTAAAACGCTGATTCCAAATCTGTAGTTTTTAGCAGCGGAGCCGTTTTGTACAAGGGTTACGAGGGGTGTTTCCTTTTGAGGTTGAGGCGCCCTCCAGTAGGTCTCCCCTTATCTATGAGCCGGCCTAGTGGTAAGTGCCTTGCTTGACAAAAAGAGTGTCAAGGTTTTACACCCCTCCGCATGCAACTTTATCGCAATTCTTGAGCTTTTAAATGGCTCTAGAGCCCTAAAGCCTGAAATTTCGGATGATATTGATGCTAATTGAAATTGGAAGTGTTGAAAAATCAAAGTAGTGCAAGTATTACTATCCTTAATGTAATCTTCATTCAAATTACTTACCACTGACCAGTTCCTACCAGTTAGTGCCAGTAGGGTAAGGGGAGATGGAGGGCGCCTCAACCTCAAAGAGAAACACCCCTCATAACTCCTTCTACAAAACCGCTCCGCTGTTATATGCTACAGATTTGGAATCAGCGTTTCAAGCGCTTTAAGATGATATGTGTCTCATCAGGATTCGTGCTTTCGACTAAGTATCCTCTCCTTGTTAGATGGCTTTACATGCTCAGAATCAGCTATATTTGATATGCTGCGTTTACAAGCTGTTACAGTAATCCTGCAGCACTGTTTTAGTTGAAACGAATTCACGCTGTTACGTTATGTACAAATTGCTACGGTGTCGTTACAGTTCTTACAGTCGAAGAATGGTTAGAGCTATTCCGATAAGCTGTTATAGTAATGCAGCAGTAGCGTTATATACAAGAAGGTGTACAATTTCAGTAAAACGCTTGAAGGTTCACTGTACATACTATTTGTCACGTTATGTTGTTGTTCAAATCGTTACAGTACCCCTACAGTAATCTTACAATTCAGAGAAGTGAGAGCTTTCGTGGTAAATTGTTGCAATAATCCGCATCGCTATACAGGGTGTCCGTAAAGTATGTATACACTGTTTGATCGTTAATATCTTTCTTCCCAAGAAGTCTTTTGCCTTGCTTAAGTACCGTTTTGTAGAGCTGGCTTCAACTTAGATTTGCAGTATGGAGCGAATCGCCGACCGCTCTTCGTTACTGTAGGATTACGGTAGAAACTTGAAACATGGTGTCAATGTGGAAAAAGCTGCCGTCTCAAAATTTTTAAAAAAAAATGTGAAAAATTGTGTAATAGGGTTTTTATGAACGCTGAGTTCAATACTCAACTATTCACAAGATTACGAAGCTTTCTAAGCGGTGTAACCGCACTTTTTAGGAACATTGAAAAAACGGCCGTTACCTCTTACTCTTCAATGAAACATCATAATAAGTTGGGAACTTTACAGTTAGAATCAGCAACTCTAATTAGCCTAGTGTTAAAGTTTTCAGGCTGTTTTCTTTCTTTTCTGAGATAACATATGGCCTTTCATGGCCCAAAACCCTCTTTGAAGTTTCTACCGTAATCCTACAGTAATGAAGAGAGATGGGTGATTCGTTCTATACTGCAAATCTAAGTTGAAGCCAGCTCTACAAAATGGTATCTAAAACAAGGCAAAAGACTTGTTGAGAAGAAAGATATTGACGATCAAACAGTGTATACATACTTTACGGACACCCTGTATTTCGAAAGAAGCATTTGAATAATGCTGTGCGGTTTACTGCGCTTTGGCACCTCAAGTTTTTTGTTTTACTAGTTTTTAAGTTCGTACAGTAACCCTACAGTCTACTATTTACGGACCCTGTTGACAAACAATTACAGTAATCCCACAGTAGCGTAATGTAATAACCAAAGTTTGGATTTTTCCTCAAATTTTGCTAAGAATTTGGTGCATTACATGTTACAAGCTGCTACAGTACCTTTACAGTAACTTTACAGTCCTTGCGAACTGCGTTGAAAAAACTGTTACACTAATTCTACACTAGTGACATTTGTAATAGTAAACAATTCAATTTTCTCCATGGCTCGGTCTACGATTTGGTACATTATGTCTTACAAGCTATTACAGTACCCCTACAGTAGCTCATAGTCACCAAATCATGAGACCTATCCCAATGCATAGTGGCTGGCGCATTCGTCCCCTAATGAACGGCAAACTCTTCCCAGCACTTTTTGTGAAATCCAAAATTTTCAAGTGATGGGAAATTTCGTGACAGAAAACAATTCAGAAGAGCGTTTATGTTTTTTCTTCAAAATCGCTTAGGCTTTAGAATGGTGGTTTCCTGCATGCTGCACGAGAATCGGTCACGAAAAGGTTTAGAACCTAGAAATTTGTCATTTTTAAGTGGTTGCGCCATAATCTCGTGAAATATTGGACGTAAATTATTTTGTTATGTGTGCAGTCGCACGAAAAACAGCACCGTTGCTTGTTAGCATGTAGTTGATTTATAACAAGTCTTGCAGTGTGACTTACATAGCTAATGTTATGTCTTTCTCCCCCCCCCCCCCCTCCCCATTTCCTTTCAGCCGTTTGCAACCTGAAACTGCAACGGCTTTTAAGCCCAAAGAGTACATCCTTCAAAATCGAAAAGCTCATCTTTCTATTGCAAAAGCAGAAAGGAGAGCTCATTTACGGAAAGGAAATGCTCTGACGTTTTCTTTCGATTTGAAATTTCCAGACATAATGGATGTACTCCTTGAAGGAATTTGCATCGGAAATTCTCTAGAGACGGTGGCCTTTTTTTTTTGTCAAAAAGACTCATTTGCAATTTCGCAGTCATTGGCTTTTGGCACGAAAAGAATGGCAATCATCCGAGAATATGAAAAATTGTGTGGAGAAATTATGCAGTATCCCTTTGCAATTTTTTAGGAAAAAGTTTACAACAAGAAATTTACACTTTACACTGACTATCACACTGAAGATTAAGTTTGCTTCACTCTAGTTTCTAATTGAGTTTTTTGCATAATTAGTTAGAAAATTTGCATTTTACCCCGCTCATGACAAAAAAGGCAATATTGATTGGATGTCAAATCTTATTTTGAGGAAAAAAAATCTGGTGCGTTTCTCACTTCAAAATTCGCCCGGTGAAAGTTACGAACGAATTTTAAATGAATCAGGGTCCGACTGACTGCAAAAAACGCTGCACAAAAAGTCTGTCAGCCCATATATTTCGTACAGAGATTACAAACTGCTAGAAAATTTTTGAAAACAAAGCATCAAGTTACAGTCCCCTTGATACGCAAAAGGTGTCCAAATTCACTACAATAGAATTACTTGATGAATATGATCGAAATTCAGTCTTAGGACCAAAGTCATGAGCATTCTTTCACTAAAAAAACAAGTCGCATACTTCAGGAAGAAAAATGTGAAAAATACGACTGTTAGAAATTTGTTAGATCTTATTTTTCTTTTGAAAAAAAATCAGATTATCAAGTGCCTCAACTTTGATCTCCAAGAAAAAAAACTTGAATATTGGGCAACGGTGCTCTAGGATGTATAATATAACTGGCCAAATAGTTATAATCAGCCATTAAGCTCTCTTTTGTTTATCGGAAATGAAAGTTGAAAAAAGTATGCCATTGCTCCAAACATATTGAATCGCTCTAAGCTGATCGAATTTGAACTCAAACTCGAAGACCAAAAGTTAAGTGATCTCGAAACTTTCTCCTTGTTTCTCTTCTCTTTTCCCCTCCCTCCCAAAATTTCTTCTCAAGTCTTTTCAATGATTTGTTTAGGGTCAATAAGACTTTATCAAGTATTCCATGCATTGCAAATTTTGCGAATTGCTTGAATTCAAGCAAAGCATTCAGAGCCAAGCCTCTAAGTTCTCATCGAAAGACCATCTTTTCAGAAAAAGAATATTGCCTAGACAGAATGCAAAAATCGAGAAATACTTACGGGAAAGCTGTCGCCGGATGGCATCCCCTTCCGACTCAGGTGCATCGTTATTTCCGATGTAGTCATCGAAAACTACTTGTCGCTTGCCTCTTCGCAATTTCTTGTCCGAAAGTGGCTTGACTGAAATCGAGGAAATTCAAATAAATTACTCATCAAATTGAATAAGAACACGAGGAAGATAGGGTTCACACTTTTTAGTTTAGCTGTAGAAAACAGATTCGGGCTCTGGAAAATTTTTCTATAAAAACTTGGTAAACCGATAGAGTTATTCACAAGAAATGTGACGCAAAGAAGTGCTCAAAATTCTACACCAAAAAAACCAAATTTTTATTAGAAAGCTATAAAGCGCGCATTCATTTTCGGTATGTCTTGCCTTCAACAGATTTGCTTTGCTTGTCAGATTTGGGGAAAAATTTGACTTTCTAACAGCAGTTGACTCGAAGGGAATTTTCGGCTTTCCTCAGATTCTGACCAATAAGAAAAAGTCAAAACCTCAGAAATTTTCAAAAATCATCTCTCGCACAACACTTTCCTCACTTCAAAACTTTGAACATTATAGGAGTAAATAGTATGGAGGAAACGAATAATGTTATTGCGGAGCAAAAGCAGCATGAAGAAAGTTTGAAAAGTGAATTGTTTCTGAATGTTCGTCTTCATGTGGACCATCCCTATTTGCTTTTGTTCGCTGCACTTCGCCGTCTGTCGTACTCTGTGGTAAAAAAATATTCTCAGAGCAATAAAGTAAACGTAAACTATCTATTCAGTCTAGCTTCTTCCAAATGCATTTTTTAGCTTGAAAAAGAGCTCTTTGGTGAAAGAACAGTATTTGTTTATTTTCCTATCGCAAGGGCCAAAGCGTTGCATGATTTGTAAGCCCTTCCTCATAGGGGGCTTTGCAAAAGTAGCGATAGCTGCAAGCTGGGACCCTCGTCATTCGTCTAGCTAGCAAACAAAAAATAATTTCCATATTATTAGCATCCAAACTGTTGATTGAAGTGGTTTATGGAATGCCCTTCGAATGAAATTTGAGTTGATATGTTTAATTGGGCTTTTGATGGGTTGAGCTGAACGTTCTGACTTTTTCACAATACGTGAGAGAAATCCCCCCCCCCCAAAAGAAATAGAACTTTTTAAAAATTGTGGTTTATTGAGACTTATGTTTTAATAGTGAGATGCATGTTGCATTAGCATGATTAAACTGTCCTGAGCGCAGCTTTTTTGGAAAATTAATTCATAAGATGCTCAGACTTGCTGCACTATAATACGAGGTGACGTGAGCAAAAGCGAATATCTGAGGGAAAAGGAAATTATAGAAAATGGAAGTTAAAGTAGACTCAGAAAGCTCTATGAATTTGCTTGAAGATGTAGCAAGTTAGTTAGAGCTTAGGAAAGTAGCTCATAAAACTTAAAACTTAAAGAGTGAAATATTTTTCTAGGTTAGAACAACAAGTCTTGCATAAAAAAATCGAAAAATCATTCACAAAGGCCTGAGCGACCATTTCCAACTGTGAAATTTTTTCAAACTATACATACAGTGTTTCTTCAGGTATATTGCAAATCAGATCTCAACAAATCAAAACTCGATTAAGGGAGTTTGAAAATCACAACTTTTTATAGAGAGGGTCTAACTACGCAAGTCCATCTCAGCAGGGGAAAGTAGGTCAAAAGTAGGTCATTAAAACTTGAAACGAAGGTGAAATTAGGGGGTTGCTAGACTTTCCAGCGCTAACAATCGAAATAAAAAAAATAGAGTTTGAGAGCGTGTGTTCATCAGCTTCTAACTAGCAAAAACACTACAATTTTCTCTTCCGATCATTTGTTAGTTCTGATAGATTCACCGTACTGATAGAAAAACAGATAGTCAAAAATTTGGGGTTAGACTCATGTTACAGCCTAATATAACAAAAAAATCAGATCTTATGTTAGCCTGCTAACGTATTTACTTACCTGTGATTACGAACTTTGCAAAAAACACCCAGTCAAATGCTGTTCTGTAAGAGACAGGGGAAAATTGTAAAAATTACTAAATTTCCATAGCTTCTGAAGTGAGAGTTCATGGTCCTCGGAGTGTAATCAAGTATAGGATTAGGGCGTACTTTATTTGGTAAATTTACTAGTCAGAGACAAGGGAACTTCAACTTTACACTCTTCTTCACATTTGAAGGCACATTGAGAATAATAGAACCCTAATCTAGCAAGTAAGGCAGTCTTATGAATAGATCCGCCAAAACCTTGTTTTTCAAATTCATAATTGTTTGGTCTCCAAAAATCTGCAAAACATAAAAATTACCCTAAAATCCCATAGACAAGAGCGGTTTAATTTACCGGTGAAAAATGAAGTGGAATGAATTGAAATTGAATGCAGTCACCCCTCTAACTTGATGGATGGATAAATAAAAATCGGAGAAGAAGTTTAGAAGAAGCTCCGCCCCTCAACTCTAAACCCCGCTCACTTAATAAACAATTCATATAGAAATTCCGAAATTCCGTTAAAATCGCTATTTTTCTATATGAATTGTTTATTAAGTGGGCGGGGTTTGGAGTTGAGGGGCGGAGCCTCTTCTAAACTTCTTCTCCGATTTTTATTTATCCATCCATCAAATTAGAGGGGTGACTGCATTCAATTTCAATTCATTCCAATTCATTTTTCACCGGTAAATAAACCGCTCTTATCTATGGGATTTTAGGGTACTGTATAATTCGACAATTCGAGGAGCCTTTCAAAGGACATTCGAAAAGTTGACGGTGCTCGATCATTACTGCATGGCTGAAGAAAAAAAGCCATTTCAGCAGTGCAGTGAGGTGCTGAGGTAGAGGGCAAAAGCAAAAAAAAACGTGATTAAGAGTGGCTATCAAGCTTCGCACATTTTTCATATAACTCGTCAAGTGCTTTCGAATAGTATAAAAAGCTCTGTCTCTTGCATTAGTCCAGAAACTATGGTCGTTTTATAAGTCCGTAGAGTTTTTAATTTAGCAACCATTTTTTGATGAAGCGGTTGGTTTGCGGCAAAACACCCGCAATATTCAAAAGAGCCAATCTTGCTCTACAAGAACTGTTGTTCGTTTTTGGAACAAATCTAAAATTTCTTGTTTGACGACTTCTCAAAGCAAAGTTTTTGAGAGGTAAAAATAGGCGATTTTGGCACCTGCAAATTTCGATCCATATACGGAGATAATAAAAGGGAATTTTTCAGTTGAAATTGTTATAAGTGATGAGAAGCAACTGCTTACGGGACTATGGCGCATATAAAAGTAGTCTACTTATCTAAAGAGACACAAAATTCTACGAACTTATGAAACGACCTGATAGATACATGTTGCCAAAGCAAAAAATCCAAGCCCTAAATAAAACGAGCTTAGGTGCTAGATTTTAGGGACTTAGTTTGACCGACTGATATGTGGAAATTTTCTAGAGCGCTCCCCCCTCTCCTCCCCCTCGTCCTTCCCTCTGGGCGATGTTTCAATGAAAAGAAAAAGGGCGCATGCACTTTTGTTCATGTGAAAAGATGGATTAGATCGCAATCCATCCAATGTCTGCAATCTGCTCTAGAGGGTAATAAATAAGAAGCGAATGGTAATCAACCAAAGAGTGGATAGCAATCAGGCGAAAGCCTCAGTCATAAGAGAAAGATGTATGTAAAAGCTGTTCCGTGTTAGAGCCTATAATCAAAGAGAAAGCACATATTTCACTTGGAAAATGTGCTTGCACTGCTCCGTGGAACTTTCGGAGGAAAAGAGCATAGGAAAAGCGAAAGAAAAGTAGATTAGAGAAAAAAATGATCAAAAACGTCACTTACCTTGCGACTTGAGACTCGAAGCTTTGCCGGGTGCGACTTTTCCACCCTGAAAATATTACTTCAATTTTCTCGTATTTTTCATACATTTTTTGTACTGATTTTTATGATCTCTTAGCAAACACTTGTTGAAACTCCTTGAGAAGAAATTTTTATCCATTGAAACCTGTCATTTAGCAAATTCTCAGCGTCTACCAAAGGAAAAACTATTCTTCGATTTAAATAATGTTTTGTGTTTTTGAGCCAGAACCGAGATTGTCACAGATTTTTATTGGCTTACTTATTATTATTCTTCGATTGTTGTGGGATTTGATTGATAGAAGCAAATCACGGCAACTAATATTTCTGGAATCTTCAAAGAAATTACTAGAGAATTATTTTTTTTTTAATTCCAGTTGGATTCTGCAATCTGTGCTCACTCAGAAATTCATCTCATGCTTTGTAAAAACCTCAAACTTGCTGTCTTAAGACTTTCTAACCTCTATAATTCAATTATCAGTCATGATAATAATTGCGTGGATCAAAAACGTGTGTCATTGCACACACAGTCCACTTTTGGCTTACCCATCCTGGATTCTTAGAGGAAACAATCTTTCAGCTAAGTGTTTTCAATGTGTTCTTGATATTTTCTTTTCTTTTCAGTTACTAATCACCCTAGATGTACTTGATAACAAGAAAACTTCTCTTTTTTGCCCCTCGTCTTCTCGTATTTTGAAGATCTTCTGCCAGAATGAGGAGCGAAATCAGCTAAATTTTTCCACACTAACTTTATCTTCAAGCTCCCTCTATCAGCCTCTTCCTCTCCTGACAGCAAAACAAAGCTAAAACTTAATCGATAAAGAATCAAATGTTATTATCTTACCTTTTTTGATCCACGATCTTACTTTCCAAAGTCTGTACATGAACCACATATATTTGAGGTTTTCGAACCATGGTTTTCATTTTCAGCAAGTGATTGTTTACCTTTCGCTTAATAGCTTTGCTCTTGTAGAAATTAGGGAGACATCTTTTACATATGACTTGAGCAATTTTGCCCGAGCCTAATAACCTCAAAGAGCAAACCCAGGTAATTTTTCTCTCTACTCCTGGTATGCGTCATTTTTTTCTTTATCCACCTTTACTGGGAGTATCAACGAGTGCCATCGATGAGCAAAAATAGGAATATAACGATTACCCAATGTGGACTAATCATCGCAAATTAGTTTGTATGTTTGAAGTGACCAAATAGCATATCTGTGACATTTACTTGACGTTAATAACAGTGAAGTAACTACAAATGAACGTTGACTGGCTACGAGCAACCTTTAAAAGTCTTGAGATGGATTAAAGAGCTTGACGCAATCTGGAATCAGCAATCCAAGTAAGTAGTTATAAATACGCATATCAAAGAAAGCTCATATGATACAAACAGTTTTCTTCTTCGGGTGCTAACTCACAGAATCTAGCCATTAATCAAGATTTTTTCCTTTCTGTTGAGCTTGAATGAGTTTTGCATCAAAATTTGCAAAGAAAAATTGTTTCAGAAGTCTTCGAAAAAAGGTTGTTTATCAAATTATATTTTTTGGTAAATAACAAGTGTTCTGTCTCTATCATTTCAAAGCCTTTAACCAATAAAAATTTAGGTTTCGGGTGAAAAAAGAAACTTAGAAAATCCCTAGAAATACGGGGAGGTAGAACCACAATCGACTGAAATCAAGTTTTGGGCCTTCTAGCATTTTTAGCGAACAGAAAAAACTTGAGAATTAGTTTTTGATTTATCTGTCATAAGCACCTAAACTTTTACACTAAGAAATACTAAAAACTTTATTAATCGTCAGATCCTCTAAAAAATAAAAAATTCACGATTTTGCATAAATTTTGATGCACGCGACTTCTATTCCAATGTATACATTGCCTGTTGCATGCTCTGCTTAGTGGCAGCTAGTAATGGCAGAGGATAATTTGTAATGCTATTTGTGCAAGCACAGACTAATTACATGAAATTACGCTTGTTTTGATTACGCATCTGCTACCGCATTCCGCTAGCAAGCTGATATAAAATGAGGGCGACAGACTCTGGGCTATTACGGAGGGTTGAAAGCACTTTTAGCTGGAAACTTCTGGAATAATTAGGGCTAAACTTTGTAATGCCCTCATGTGCGGGCTTTCATTATCTATTTATCTACTCATTTATTATTCGTTGCGAACAAAAAAGTGCGTTAAAGCAAAAATGATCCACATCTGAGGAGTTGAACCCTAGGCAACTTTTGTTTGAGATAACAAACCACACTTTTTACATTTGATGACCTCGGTATTTTGATAACTCGTTTAGTCAATATTTTTGTTATTTTTTACCAAATTTTTTTATTCGTTACTAACTCTAGTCGCCAAGTGAATTTTGTGAATTTGTCAAAAATCTGAGTGCGAAAATACAGTGCCGTTCAACAAAAAAACAAGAGATCTACGTCAATTTCATGTGGTCACGTGTGTCATTGCACACACAGTCCATTTTTGGCGTCCTCATCCTGGATTTGCGATTTGCAAAAACGCAAAAGATTACGGTTTTCAGCAGATGCAAAATGAATCCACAGCATAAATGAGATGAAAAAGTGATTTGTAAGACAAACCTTTTTCTCATTGCAGCATCTAAGCATTTGTCTAAATATTCCTATTTTTCTTGATATTAGCTGAGACTGCATCTTTTCTCCAAAATTGCGTGGACCAAATCTCTAATTTCTCCATGATTTCGCAAACCTGAATTGCTCTACCATTGCAGAGCTATAAAACAAAGCTTTGATTTATTTTTTTTTCCGCTTTCTATTTATTCGTTGTGAATAGCTGTATCTCAAAAACACCATGAATTAATAATCTCATGCGATATCAAAAATTGATGATGCTAGCAGAGCGAGTAGCTTGAGGAAGTCATGACTGAATAAGGTAAGAAATAGATTCGATGTTGTAAAATTTTTGCATAGATTTTTTTCTACTCGAAATTGATTGTTCCTATTATTTTGTTCAGAAATTTCTTTAGACTGTTCAAAAAGTCAATTTACACTAGTCTGACTATGTTCCGTGATTTCATGAATTCCAATTAGTGTCACAATTCGCCTCCTAGTGTCAGCTCTGGGGAAAATCATCAAGCATAAAAAAAGTTCTAACAAATTCAAATTGGGTGACTCAAATTGTAAAGGAAGATCACAATCAAATTTCGACGAATAGACACAGCTGTGATGAAATTTGAAATCAAAAACCTTTTTGTTCTCTTTTTGTTTTCAATTCGATTTCGGTCAGGTTCGGCTCTGTCAGGTCCAAAAATTTGTAAAAAAAAATTGGAGTCTTATTGCGCTGCAAAGCCTTAAAATAAATGAGTAAAAATCTTGAGGTAGAGACGGCTTTTATCGGCTGACGCACATTATCAGAACTTATTTGTACAAGACTAAAAGTACATATTTTGCATTTCATTTTTATCTTCCTTTTCATATTCACATCTTGCAGAAGCTTTTATCCGGTGAGTACTTTCCGCACTGGGACCTAATTCGTTATATGTTCATTGCATTTGGGATTAGTAAGCTGATAAGCTGGTTTTTCCCCAATTTAACAATTAAAGTACGATCTGTAAAATGGGATTTATCAATTAAACCCAAATTACTGCCAAAGAACAGTCAAATTCGCGATTTTTAAAGAGAAAAAAAACTGAAAAAAAAGGAAAATTATTGTGCACGACATATAATCCATTTGATTGCTCGAGTATAAAGTACTTAAATTTCAATTTCCTTTTCTAATTGCAAGCAAAAAAATCCACTTCTGCATCGCAGCACCTGCTTTAATATTGATTTTGCAGCCATTTGTTTACCAGAAATATGTCGCAATAAAAACAAATGGCTGCGAATAACCATTTGCAGAAGATTTTTTGGAGATTTTACGATTTCTCTTTTCGTGCAGGCAATTTTCGTCTGATTTATTGCTTTGCTTCAAGCTGGAAACCTCGAAAGTGCTCTCTAAAAAAAAGGCAATGTCTAAGCAACGTTTTCTGTTGGCTCTAAGAGTGTCGATTCTTTTTATTATATTATGAATTTTGGGTAAAAATTTCGCTTATCATACAGTTTGCAGTAAAAAACCGAGTTTAATAATAAAAAAATTTTTGAGATTACTTTTGCAAATTTGTTTTGCTGATTAATGCAAAATTGTCCATTGTTATGTACCCCTAAATATTTATTCCACCATATCAATTTTTTGTATTGCCAATTTATAGCCGCTGCTACAAACTGAGATTTGAAAACCATTGCTATAGCAACGAAGGGTAAATACATTGGCATATTGCCAAAAATAATTCTAATGAACCTTCGATAGTACACATTTCGTGCTCTCATGCTCAGAAGAAGAGATGTGTGCCCTTTTGTGACAACCCCAAAGTTTATGTAAACATTGAAGGTTTCCATTATTTGGGGTGTTTCAAATAAGTGTATCTCAAAAAAAAGGAAGATGTTTTCAATAAATTTTTTGGCATCACTTAGTCTCGAAAGACGTGAAAAGGGGTTTTCAAAGTTTTTTCTGAGAAGTGAACAAGTTCATTAAGTTCTGCCAAAAAAAGGTTTTCTCAGTACTTCACAATTCTACAACATCTTTACAAAAGCACTGGATTTATTTACTTAAAAAGCATCAATTTTACGGGCTTGATTTGTAAGTGCTTCACTCGTTTGGAAACAGAGACAAAATCTTTTCTAGTTGCAAAAAGACACTAATATTGATTGATTTTCTTCTCTAACAGGGCTCTGCACAGGTGGCTTATAAGCAAGCTGGATATCGTTTTGGGGACAAAAAGCAAAGGGGGGTTTTTTGTGGCCAAAAGACACAAAATTCGCGATGTTTTTTATGTCGGCGTTTTGTTTTTTGGAGATTTCTTAGAGTTTATGGTCTAGGGTTAAAAGTGACTTCGTAAAAATTTGCAAAAGTCAAGGGGTACTTCGTTTTTTTGCATTTTCAACTAGCCACCAGTGCCGAGCCCTGTTCTCTAAAAGGTATCAATAAAATTCTGAGAGAGGAGATAGAAAGTCAGATGCACAAAGTGCA